GGTTTATGAATCTAATGAGAGAAATAGCAGGTGGAGTTAAAATATCCACTGCTCGTAGCATTTACTTTTTAAAAAGTGCTCAATACAAAGTAGAGCTATATATTATAATATTATTTTTATTATAAGAGATTATAATAAAACATTTTTGAAATCGCTACACAAGAGTTTTCATGTTTCAAGACATTCATTGTATTTCTTCAGGCGACAGTAAGTAACTGGTAATTAAATTATTTTTGAGGAAATTTAAAAGCAAAGTTTTACCTCATTTCTGAAAGCTAAAGTTTTCTTTCGAAAAAGAGGTAACATTTTGTTTTAAAACAAAATAATCACCAGTTACTTACCATCGCCTGAAGAAGTACAATATTAGTATTGAAACATGAAAGCGTTTATGTAGCGATTTCAAAATATTTTTTATCTCTAATATATATATATAATATATATATATATATATATATATATATATAGTCTGTTCATATATGTATATACCTACCTTGCTAATTAACTATCTAGCTATTGCAGTTTGTTCATATCTCTCTCTCTCTCTCTCTCTCTCTCTCTCTCTATCTATCTATCTATCTATCTATCTATCTCAGTCTATTCATTATCTGTCTGTCTGTCTGTCTGTCTGTCTATCTATCTATCTATCTATCTATCTATCTATCGCAGGCTGTTCATATCTATCTATCTATCTATCTATCATCTATCTGTTCATTATCTATCTATCGCAGGCTGTTCATATCTATCTATGTATTCATTATCTATCTATCTATCTATCTATCTATCTATCTATCTATCTATCTATCTATCGCAGGCTGTTCATATCTATCTATCTATCTATCTATCTCAGTCTATTCATTATATATTTATCTATTGCAGTCTATTGATATCTTGAAAATTCGGTTGACGCATCATCTTTGATTTAATTCGGATCGCCACAAATCAGGCTAACAATGGTTTAAAAGAGTCGAACGCACATGATAAACGATTGACCAATGAAAATCGAATAAGGACTACTTCTTTTATGTACTATGTTCTTTCAGGACGTGGGTGATCATGGCTCTCCACCTCCTCCTGTCCCATGTAGCCCCTTGTGTATTTGCCACTCGCATTCGAGGGCGGCTATGTGTTTATTCAATATTCAGAGCGTACCTGTGGTTTATACTGCAACTATGCTGAGCAGACCTTAGTTACAGTTTCTGGGAAAGAGCGTGTTATCTAGCATGATCAACAATTTGAACAAAGTCCTAGGCCACTAGCTAGCACTGTTCCGTCTACTCATTTTCACTCACTTGGGTCAACTCGTGATATGGTTTTCAGGCACTTTCCAAAGGTGCTGCATGTTGGGATCGACCCCTCCAATCCGATAACATCCTGAAGTCTCCTTCCTGACAAATCGACCATGGTGAGATTCGAACCCGGGTGGGTCTCATGTTCAGAATGCAGACGTTCTAACCACTCGGCCACGTGTAGTGTTGTAGTCTTGTATTATCTGTTATTTGGCACAGTTTGTGATTGTGTAGCGTCAAGGTACGAAGAAGCACGATATTCATTAAGATCTAATGGTTTAATTATTTCAAAGCAATTTTTAACCATTGATCTGAAAAATCGGTTCTATACAGCTGTCATTTAGGTTATTTCTGAACGTGTAGTGTGCCATGGATGACATCTATTAAATAGGGATTTTCTAAGCATGGCTTAGATGTGAAACAAAACCAAACGTGTGGAGTACCCAGTGAGGACAGAATTTACTACTCAGTCGTAATTTTTCAAGCGAGGAAAAGCTTCTTAACCTTTACAGCACATCTTTTCATTGCATATCACGTAACAGTCCAGTGCCCTTTTCTTTGTTTCTAACGATATTTTTCCGTCCTCTGTTATAAACAAAGGAAAGGCCACTGGATTGTTACGTCGTAATTTCCAGTGTAAACGGTACTGGACCGTTACGTCGTAATTTTTCAAGCGAGGAAAAGCTTCTTAATCTTTACAGCACATCTTTACATATCACGTAACAGTCTAGTGCCCTTTTCTTTGTTTCTAACGACATTTTTCCGTCCTCTGTTATAAACAAAGAAAAGGCCACTGGATTGTTACGTCGTAATTTCCAGTGTAAAGGGTACTGGACCGTTACGTCGTAATTTTTCAAGCGAGGAAAAGCTTCTTAACCTTGACAGCACATCTTTACATTGCATATCACGTAACAGTCTAGTGCCCTTTTCTTTGTTTCTAACGACATTTTCCCGTCCTCTGTTAGAAACAAAGAAAAGGCCAGTGGACTGTTACATGATCCATATGGATGTTTCTATTTAAGAACATCTCTTGAGTTTTTCATTAATGTTTTGGTCTTTTAGCAGTTTCTAGTATTGTGCAAAACTACCTCTTGTGCAAACTGTTCTATGTTCAGTTTTCTTAAATGGCATAATTTTGAGGTTTCGCGTTCACTGAAAAAATTAAAAAGCTGATAATAAAATGAAAGCATTCTAAAAATATCAGTGATCAAAGCCTATTTTAAAAGAGTATGGTCTTGGATTACAAAAAACAGCCTATTCGTTTGAAATAGAATTACGTAAATTATGAACACTAAGCGCCCTAGAATTCCGGATCTGGTCAAGCACAGATCGAATGTCTCTGATTACAAAATTATTCTAGCTTTGCTTTCAATGAATAAGAATTTATTCGCATCAACGACTAACTCCCTCGGAGGCAATTAACTGAAAGAAAAAAAAAGTGGTTCAAATGACTTTAAAATTATTTGATGCTTTTCTTTTTTGTTATGCACAGAAGTGAGCAAAAAAAAAAAAAAAAAACTGGCTAAATCAAGAAAAACAAATATCTTTTTACTTTTTTTTTCCCCAAAAGAAATCAAAATGTCGGATAAGTGACAAGATTTTCATTTAAAGTAAGGATTTTTAAACCATGATTACTTGAAGCGCGCTGTTATTTTGATCTGGTTATTTGTTTATATCATTACAATTGCAACCATATATAAATGATTTTAAACCTGGGTTTCTTTAATTTTGAGTTACATTTTTGTAACTGGTTCTTTCGTTTGGTTTATCTGATTTCATCAATATGAGTTTTCTATGAGAAATGTGCAAATATCCCAGTGAATGTCCGGATATGAGTAAAAGACAAATCAATGAAAATATTTATTTCGAAAGAAAAGTAAGAAGGAATAACATAGAGTAAGGAAATAAAAAACGAAAAACAAGAAAGAAATGAATGAAATAAGGAATAAAGAAAGAAAAAACGGGAGAGGGAAAGAATAATTGGATAAATAAATGAATAAATACAAAGAAGTTAAAAAGAAAGAAAGAAAACCCAAAGAACAAAAGAAGGAAAAGAATAAAAGGAAAACGAAAGAAATAAAATAATGTACGAAAAATGAGAGAAAGAAAGACAGAAAAATAAGCTAAATATACGAATAAATGACAAGTAAACAAGAAATAAATAAAGGCAGGAATAAATAAACAAAAAAATGAAATAAACAATGAAATAAAGAAAGAAGGAAAGACATGAATAAATAAATAATGAAAGAAAGAATGAAAGAAATAATGAAAGAAAGAAAGAAGAAATAAATAATTTAATACATAAATAAATAAATAAATAAAGAAAGAAAATAAATGAATAAACGAAAGGAAGTAGATGAGAAAAAAGAAAGAAAAAAGACAGATAAACGAAAAGAAATAAATATGAAAGAAAGAAAGAAAGAAGCGAACAAGGCGAAAAAAGAATGCAAAAGAAAGAAAGTATGAGTAACAAAGAAAGAAAATGGATTAAAGAAAGTAAAGAAAGAAAGAAAATGAAGCAAGAAAGAAATAAAGTAAATAAGAAAGAATGGAAGGAAGACAGCACAAAGAACTAAGAAATAAAAAATGGGATACAAAAATGAAAATGCAAGAATATAAAAAAGAAAGAAAGAACGAATGAAAAAAAGAAAAAGGACCAAAGAAGAAAATGAGAAAATATATTATTTAAAGAAAGGAAGAAAGACAAAAAAATGAGAAAAGTAAAGTGGAATACACAAAATCAGAAAAAAAAAGAAATAAAGAAAGACAGAAATATATAAATAACTAAATAAATAAATGAAGGAAGAAAGAAAGAAAGACAGAAATAGAGAAAGGTATAAATAAATAAAGAAAGAAAGACAGAAATAAAGAAAGGTAGAAATAAAGAAAGAAAGAAAGAAAGGTAAAAAATAAATAAAGAAAGAAAGACAGAAAGAAAGAAAGGTAGAAATAAATAAAGAAAGAAAGACAGAAAGAAAGAAAGGTAGAAATAAATAAAGAAAGAAAGACAGAAAGAAAGAAAGGTAGAAATAAATAAAGAAAGAAAGAAAGGTAAAAAATAAATAAAGAAAGAAAGACAGAAAAAAAAGAAAAAATAAAAGAAAGAAAGACAGAAAAGAAATAAATAAAATAAAAAAGAAAGAAAGAAAAAGAAAGAAAGGTAGAAATAAATAAAGAAAGAAAGACAGAAAGAAAGAAAGGTAGAAAAAAAATAAATAAAGAAAAGAAAATAAATAAATAAAGAAAGAAATAAAAAAGAAAAGAAAGGTAGAAATAAAAAGAAAGAAAGAAGAACAGAAAAAAGGTAGAAATAAATATCGAAACAGAAAGAAAAAAAAAAAAGAAAGCAAGAAGGACAGAAAAACAGAAATTAATATCGAAAGAAGAAAAAAAAGAAAGAAAGAAAGAAAAAAATTAAAAGAGAGAAATGAAAAAAAAAAGAAAGAGAGAAATGAATAAAGAAAGAATGAAAGAAAGAGGGAAAGAAAGAAAGAAAGGCATAAATAAATAAAGAATGAATAAAAGACAGAAATAAATAAATAAAGAAAGAAAGAATGAAAAAAGAAAGACAAAATTAATTAAAGAACAAAAGAAAAAGAATGAAAGAATGAAAGAAAGAAAGAAAAAAGGACCGAAGAAGAAAAGAAGAAAATATATTATTTAAAGAAAGGAAGAAAGACAAAAAATGAGAAAAGTAAAGTGGAATACACAAAATCAGAAAAAAAAGAAATAAAGAAAGACAGAAATATATAAATAACTAACTAAATAAATGGAGGAAGAGAGAAAGAAAGACAGAAATAAAGAAAGGTAGAAATAAAGAAAGAATGAAAGACAGAAAGAAAGAAAGAAAGAAAGGTAGAAATAAATAAAGAAAGAAAGAAAGAAAGAAAGGTGGAAATAAAGAAAGAAAGACAGAAAAACAGAAATAAATATCGAAAGAAGGAAAGAAAGAAAGAAAGAAAGAAAGTCAGAAATTAAAAGAGAATGAAAGAAAGAAAAAAGATAGACAGAAATGAATAAAGAAAGAATGAAAGAAAGAGGGGAAGAAAGAAAGACATAAATAAAGAATGAATAAAAGACAGAAATAAATAAAGAAAGAAAGAATGAAAAAAAGAAAGACAAAATTAAATAAAGAACGAGAGAAAAAAATGAAAGAATGAAAGAAAGAAAGAAAAAAGAAAGGAAGAAAGAAAGAAAGAAAGAAAGCAAGGGAGAAAGAATGAAAGAAAGAAAATAAAAAGTAGATAGTGAGTGAAATAAAAACTCCAAAAATTTTGTTTATATAAGTATATAAGCTTTGTATTTATGTTTTGATATATGTCGCGATTTTTTTCTGAATCGAAATGCTGCCATTAAACGTAAACAGTGACACAATAGTCTAAGTAAGAATGTGAACTCAGGTCAACAATACAATTTCTTATGCCGATAGCCGTCGCTTGTCGGGTCCAACTTGAAGTCCATAAATATCAACATTTTAACGACGTTTATTAAATTATAACACCTCACAAAACATTTCGTTTTTCTGCATGAGTATATTGCTGCAATAAAATTGCAAGATGTAGATGTAGAAACGACTCTCACGAGAATGCTTCCCCGATCATTACAATCTTAACCTGTTCATGTCAAGATTAAGCATTATCTTCCCCTCCTATCCACATGAACTTGCCTCTTAATGTACGTCATTCACCCTTGTACTTTGCACAGGGTGAATCGCGATGTAAAAGCAAAAAAAAAAAAAAAAAATGAGTGCTCTATTGATATTTTTCACAGATCTACCTGTATAAGGCACGGCAGCCACTCGAGGTAGAGGGTTACGTTAAAGGGCAGTTTGTAGGAGGGATGATAACGGTTAACTCTAGACTTGAACAGGTTAAAATTATAGTGTTCAGGGAAACATCCTCTTGGGAGTCAGTTCCACAGAGTAGTTCGAGTGGAACTTCTCACCGATGAAATACGGAGGGAATGCGGATGGTTTGATACTATGGAAGTGGCATGGCGTGCCCTTGCTATGAAGGTTTGAAATCGCGGGAATGTGGTTTATCTGAGAACTTTCCATGGAAGTAGCGATAGAGTTGAGAAAGTGTCACCTCGCCTGTGAGAGAGAGAGAGGTTGGGTTGTGGAAAATAATTTCATTAGGACTCGGTGATAGTTTTGAACTCTATTGAGACTGGAAAGTGAGGACAGGGCAGTTTCCTGGCAAATGTTTAAACGAAGCGGAGTGCCACTAGTTACAGCATTTTAGTTATGATGGACCATGCCAGATACGAATGGTTGGCTCATCCTCATTCTATTCGCATTCCATTGGTAAAGAAGAAGTTCCAATCAGAAAGACTCTTCCCAACAACTTTTCCATTGTATAACTTTATATAGAATTTTGTGAGGGCAGGCTTCCTCAAACGTTGCAACAATAACCTCTTCAATTGTAGATTCGACCGTTATCTATCAAAGATAGTTTCATAAAAAGCGCTTCTTACATACCCCTTTTTTCCCCTTACAACAATCTCATTCAGTAACCTTCTATCTTAAGTGTCTTTTGAGCTTTGTATTGGGTGAGCGTTTAGTAAATCCCAAAGATATTCAGTATAATTCTGGTGTCCAGGATAGAGATGATTTCCAAATATAGTGCGATTCAATAGACAAATATTACAAAAAGATTGCAATACAGACATATTTAGGCCTTCAGAATAAACTGGTAGCGATAAATAAATATTTTACACTATTTTGTCTATACAGTGATATAATGAATAAAGCCGGAGAGCAGAGTTCGAATTCCAGTCGGGTTCAGTACATTTACTTACACGCTAATACCCTTGGGAAAGTTATGAGTCAATCTCATCTTCCCAAAAGCTACGGGTTGAAGAGACATGAACGCCTATGTGTATATAGAGTATGACACTTAACAGACACACTAATTTCGTCGTTAGCACGAGAAAAAGAACGGCTATGCGTGTATAGAGTATGACACTTAATTGACTCACTAATTTCATCGTTAGCAGGAGAAAAGGAACGGCTATGCGTATATAGAGTGTGGCACTTAACAGACCCACTAATTTCATCGTTAGCGTGACAAAAAGAACGGCTATGCGTATATAGAGTATGGCACGTAACAGACCCACTAATTTCATCGTTAGCGTGAGAAAAAGAACGGCTATGCGTGTATAGAGTATGGCACTTAACAGACCCACTAATTTCATCGTTAGCGTGAGAAAAAGAACGGCTATGCGTGTATAGAGTGTGGCACTTAACAGTCACACTAATTTCGTCGTTAGCACAAGAAAAGGAACGGCTATGCGTGTATAGAGTATGACACTTTACTGACTCACTAATTTCATCGTTAGCGTGAGAAAAGGAACGGCTATTCGTGTATAGAGTATGGCACTTAACAGACCCATTAATTTCGTCGTTAGCCCGAGAAAAGGAACTTCTATGCGTGTATAGAGTATGGCACTTAACAGACCCACTAATTTCAGCGTTAGCGTGAGAAAAAGAATGGCTATGCGTGTATAGATTATGGCACATAACAGACCCACTAATTTCATCGTTAGCGTGAGAAAAGGAACGGCTATGCGTATATAGAGTGTGGCACTTAACAGACCCACTAATTTCATCGTTAGCGTGACAAAAAGAACGGCTATGCGTGTATAGAGTATGGCACTTAACAGACCCACTAATTTCATCGTTAGCGTGACAAAAAGAACGGCTATGCGTGTATAGAGTGTGGCACTTAACAGACCCACTAATTTCATCGTTAGCGTGAGAAAAAGAACGGCTATGCGTGTATAGAGTGTGGCACTTAACAGACCCACTAATTTCATCGTTAGCGTTAGAAAAAGAACGGCTATGCGTGTATGGAGTGTGGCACTGAACAGACCCACTAATTTCATCGTTAGCGTGAGAAAAGGAACGGCTATGCGTGTATAGAGTATGGCACTTAACAGACCCACTAATTTCATCGTTAGCGTGAGAAAAAGAACGGCTATGCATGTATAGAGTATGGCACTTAACAGACCCACTAATTTAATCGTTAGCGTGAGAAAAGGAACGGCTATGCGTATATAGAGTGTGGCACTTAACAGACCCACTAATTTCATCGTTAGCGTGAAAAAAAAAACGGCTATGCGTATATAGAGTATGGCACTTAACAGACCCACTAATTTCATCGTTAGCGTGAGAAAAAGAACGGCTATGCGTGTATAGAGTATGGCACTTAACAGACCCACTAATTTCATCGTTAGCGTGAAAAAAAGAACGGCTATGCGTGTATAGAGTGTGGCACTTAACAGTCACACTAATTTCGTCGTTACCACGAGAAAAGGAACGGCTATGCGTGTATAGAGTATGACACTTTACTGACTCACTAATTTCATCGTTAGCGTGACAAAAGGAACGGCTATGCGTGTATAGAGTATGGCACTTAACAGACCCATTAATTTCAGCGTTAGCGTGAGAAAAAGAACGGCTATGCGTGTATAGAGTATGGCACTTAACAGACCCACTAATTTCAGCGTTAGCGTGAGAAAAAGAACGGCTATGCGTGTATAGAGTATGGCACTTAACAGACCCACTAATTTCATCGTTAGCGTGAGAAAAGGAACGGCTATGCGTATATAGAGTGTGGCACTTAACAGACCCACTAATTTCATCGTTAGCGTGACAAAAAGAACGGCTATGCGTGTATAGAGTATGGCACTTAACAGACCCACTAATTTCATCGTTAGCGTTAGAAAAAGAACGGCTATGCGTGTATAGAGTATGGCACTTAACAGACCCACTAATTTCGTCGTTAGCCCGAGAAAAGGAACGGCTATGCGTGTATAGAGTATGGCACTTAACAGACCCACTAATTTCAGCGTTAGCGTGAGAAAAGGAACGGCTATGCGTATATAGAGTGTGGCACTTAACAGACCCACTAATTTCATCGTTAGCGTGAGAAAAAGAACGGCTATGCGTGTATAGAGTGTGGCACTTAACAGACCCACTAATTTCATCGTTAGCGTTAGAAAAAGAACGGCTATGCGTGTATGGAGTGTGGCACTGAACAGACCCACTAATTTCATCGTTAGCGTGAGAAAAGGAACGGCTATGCGTGTATAGAGTATGGCACTTAACAGACCCACTAATTTCATCGTTAGCGTGAGAAAAAGAACGGCTATGCATGTATAGAAAAAGTATGGGACTTAACAGACCCACTAATTTAATCGTTAGCGTGAGAAAAGGAACGGCTATGCGTATATAGAGTGTGGCACTTAACAGACCCACTAATTTCATCGTTAGCGTGAAAAAAAAAAAAAAACGGCTATGCGTATATAGAGTATGGCATAACAGACCCACTAATTCCATCGTTAGCGTGAGAAAAAGAACGGCTATGCGTGTATAGAGTATGGCACTTAACAGACCCACTAATTTCATCGTTAGCGTGAGAAAAAGAACGGCTATGCGTGTATAGAGTGTGGCACTTAACAGTCACACTAATTTCGTCGTTACCACGAGAAAAGGAACGGCTATGCGTGTATAGAGTATGACACTTTACTGACTCACTAATTTCATCGTTAGCGTGACAAAAGGAACGGCTATGCGTGTATAGAGTATGGCACTTAACAGACCCATTAATTTCGTCGTTAGCCCGAGAAAAGGAACGGCTATGCGTGTATAGAGTATGGCACTTAACAGACCCACTAATTTCAGCGTTAGCGTGAGAAAAAGAACGGCTATGCGTGTATAGAGTATGGCACTTAACAGACCCACTAATTTCATCGTTAGCGTGAGAAAAGGAACGGCTATGCGTATATAGAGTGTGGCACTTAACAGACCCACTAATTTCATCGTTAGCGTGACAAAAAGAACGGCTATGCGTGTATAGAGTATGGCACTTAACAGACCCACTAATTTCATCGTTAGCGTTAGAAAAAAGAACGGCTCTGCGTGTATAGAGTATGGCACTTAACAGACCCACTAATTTCGTCGTTAGCCCGAGAAAAGGAACGGCGTGTATGCGTGTATAGAGTATGGCATAACAGACCCACTAATTTCAGCGTTAGCGTGAGAAAAAGAACGGCTATGCGTATATAGAGTGTGGCACTTAACAGACCCACTAATTTCATCGTTAGCGTGACAAAAAGAACGGCTATGCGTGTATAGAGTATGGCACTTAACAGACCCACTAATTTCATCGTTAGCGTGACAAAAAGAACGGCTATGCGTGTATAGAGTATGGCACTTAACAGACCCACTAATTTCATCGTTAGCGTGAGAAAAAGAACGGCTATGCGTGTATAGAGTGTGGCACTTAACAGACCCTCTAATTTCATCGTTAGCGTGAGAAGAAGAACGGCTATGCGTGTATAGATTATGGCACTTAACAGACCCACTAATTTCATCGTTAGCGTGAGAAAAAGAACGGCTATGCGTGTATAGAGTATGGCACTTAACAGACACACTAATTTCATCGTTAGCGTGAGAAAAAACGGCTATGCGTATATATAGAATTTCATCGTTAGCGTGACAAAAACAGACCCAGACCCACTAATTTCATCGTTAGCATGACAAAAAGAACGGCTATGCGTGTATAGAGTATGGCACTTAACAGACCCACTAATTTCATCGTTAGCGTGACAAAAAAGAACGGCTATGCGTGTATAGATTATGGCACGTAACAGACCCACGAATTTTATCGTTAGCGTGAGAAAAGTAACGGCTATGAGTGTATAGAGTGTGGCACTTAACAGACCCACTAATTCCGTCGTTGGCACGAGAAAAGGAACGGCGATGCGTGTATAGAGTATGGCAATTAACAGACCCACTAATTTCATCGTTAGCGTGAGAAAAAAGAACGGCTATGCGTGTATAGAGTATGGCACTTAACAGACCCACTAATTTCATCGTTAGCGTGACAAAAAAAGAACGGCTATGCGTGTATAGAGTATGGCATAACAGACCCACTAATTTCATCGTTAGCGTGAGAAAAAGAACGGCTATGCGTGTATAAGTGTGGCATTAACAGACCCACTAATTTCATCGTTAGCGTGAGAAAAAGAACGGCTATGCGTGTATAGAGTATGGCATTAACAGACCCACTAATTTCGTCGTTAGCACGATAAAAGAACGGCTATGCGTGTATAGAGTATGGCACTTAACAGAACCACTAATTTCATCGTTAGCGTGAGAAAAGGAACGGCTATGCCTATATAGAGTATGGCACTTATCAGACCCACTAATTTCATCGTTAGCGTGACCCATGCGTAATTTGGCATCGTTATCGTTAGCGTGAGAAAAAGAACGGCTATGCGTGTATAGAGTGTGGCACTTAACAGACCCACTAATTTCATCGTTAGCGTGAGAAAAAGAACGGCTATGCGTGTATGGCACTTAGACCCACTATGGCAGAAAAAAAGAACGGCTATGCGTGTAACAGACCCACTAATTTCATCGTTAGCGTGACAAAAAGAACGGCTATGCGTGTATAGAGTATGGCACTAACAGACCCACTAATTTCATCGTTAGCGTGAGAAAAAGAACGGCTATGCGTGTATAGAGTATGGCACTTAACAGACCCACTAATTTCATCGTTAGCGTGAGAAAAAAAACGGCTATGCGTGTATAGAGTATGGCACTTAACAGACCCACTAATTTCATCGTTAGCGTGAGAAAAAAGAACGGCTATGCGTATATAGAGTGTGGCACTTAACAGACCCACTAATTTCATCGTTAGCGTGACAAAAAGAACGGCTATGCGTGTATAGAGTATGGCACTTAACAGACCCACTAATTTCATCGTTAGCGTGACAAAAAGAACGGCTATGCGTGTATAAGTATGGCACTTAACAGACCCACTAATTTCATCGTTAGCGTGACAAAAAAGAACGGCTATGCGTGTATAGAGTTTCATCGTGGCATGCTTAACAGACCCACTAATTTCATCGTTAGCGTGAGAAAAAGAACGGCTATGCGTGTATAGAGTATGGCACTTAACAGACCCACTAATTTCATCGTTAGCGTGAGAAAAAACGGAACGGCCCACTATGCGTGTAAAAAAAGAACGGCTATGCGTATGGCACTTAACAGACCCACTAATTTCATCGTTAGCGCGTGAGAAAAGAACGGCTATGCGTGTATAGAGTATGGCCCCACTAATTTCATCGTTAGCGTGAGAAAAGGAACGGCTATGCGTATATAGAGTGTGGCACTTAACAGACCCACTAATTTCATCGTTAGCGTGACAAAAGAACGGCTATGCGTGTATAGATTATGGCACTTAACAGACCCACTAATTTCATCGTTAGCGTGAGAAAAAGAACGGCTATGCGTGTATAGAGTATGGCACTTAACAGACCCACTAATTTCATCGTTAGCGTGAGAAAAAGAACGGCTATGCGTGTATAGAGTATGGCATTAACAGACCCACTAATTTCATCGTTAGCGTGTTAAAAGCGTGCGTGTATAAATGGCACCTAACAGACCCACTAATTTCATCGTTAGCGTGAGAAAAGAAAAGAACGACCCACTATATAGATAGAGTATGGCACTTAACAGACCCACTAATTTCATCGTTAGCGTGACAAAAAAGAACGGCTATGCGTGTATAGAGTATGGCAAAAGGACTAACAGACCCACTAATTTCATCGTTAGCGTGACAAAAGAACGGCTATGCGTGTATAGAGACCCACTAATTTCATCGTATGGCACTTAACAGACCCACTAATTTCATCGTTAGCGTGAGAAAAAGAACGGCTATGCGTGTATAGAGTATGGCACTTAACAGACCCACTAATTTCATCGTTAGCGTGAGAAAAAGAACGGCTATGCGTGTATAGAGTATGGCATAACAGACCCACTAATTTCATCGTTAGCGTGAGAAAAGGAACGGCTATGCGTGTATAGAGTATGGCACTTAACAGACCCACTAATTTCATCGTTAGCGTGACAAAAAAAAGAACGCATAACGGATATGCGTATATAGACATGGCATGGCTTAACAGACCCACTAATTTCATCGTTAGCGTGAGAAAAGGAACGGCTATGCGTATATAGAGTATGGCACTTAACAGACCCACTAATTTCATCGTTAGCGTGAGAAAAAAGAAACGGCTATGCGTGTATAGAGTATGGCACTTAACAGACCCACTAATTTCATCGTTAGCGTGACAAAAAGAACGGCTATGCGTGTATAGAGTATGGCACTTAACAGACCCACTAATTTCATCGTTAGCGTGAGAAAAAAGAACGGCTATGCGTGTATAGAGTATGGCACTTAACAGACCCACTAATTTCATCGTTAGCGTGAGAAAAGAACGGCTATGCGTGTATAGAGTATGGCATAACAGACCCACTAATTTCATCGTTAGCGTGACAAAAAGAACGGCTATGCGTGTATAGAGTTAGCGTGATGGCACTAACAGACCCACTAATTTCATCGTTAGCGTGAGAAAAAGAACGGCTATGCGTGTATAGAGTATGGCACTTAACAGACCCACTAATTTCATCGTTAGCGTGAGAAAAAGAACGGCTATGCGTGTATAGAGTATGGCACTTAACAGACCCACTAATTTCATCGTTAGCGTTATGCGTGACAAAAAAGAACGGCTATGCGTGTATAGAGTATGGCATAACAGACCCACTAATTTCATCGTTAGCGTGAGAAAAGAAACGGCTATGCGTGTATAGAGTATAACAGCATCGTTGAACAGACCCACTAATTTCATCGTTAGCGTGAGAAAAAAGAACGGCTATGCGTGTATAGAGTATGGCACTTAACAGACCCACTAATTTCAGCGTTAGCGTGAGAAAAGGAGCGGATATGCGTATATAGAATGTGGCACCTAACAGACCCACTAATTTCATCGTTAGCGTGACAAAAAAGAACGGCTATGCGTGTATAGAGTATGGCACTTAACAGACCCACTAATTTCATCGTTAGCGTGACAAAAGAACGGCTATGCGTGTATAGAGTATGGCACTTAACAGACCCACTAATTTCATCGTTAGCGTGACAAAAAGAACGGCTATGCGTGTATAGAGTATGGCATTAACAGACCCACTAATTTCATCGTTAGCGTGAGAAAAGAAACGGCTATGAGTGTATAGAGTATGGCACTTAACAGACCCACTAATTTCATCGTTAGCGTGACAAAAAGAACGGCTATGCGTGTATAGACTATGGCACTTAACAGACCCACTAATTTCATCGTTAGCGTGAGAAAAAAAACGGCTATGCGTGTATAGACTATGGCACTTAACAGACCCACTAATTTCATCGTTAGCGTGACAAAAAAGAACGGCTATGCGTGTATAGAACTATGGCACTTAACAGACCCACTAATTTCATCGTTAGCGTGAGAAAAAGAACGGCTATGCGTGTATAGACTATGGCACTAACAGACCCACTAATTTCATCGTTAGCGTGAGAAAAGAACGGCTATGCGTGTATAGATTATGGCATTAACAGACCCACTAATTTCATCGTTAGCGTGAGAAAAAGAACGGCTATGCGTATATAGATTATGGCACTTAACAGACCCACTAATTTCATCGTTAGCGTGACAAAAAAGACGGCTATGCGTGTATAGATTATGGCACTTAACAGACCCACTAATTTCATCGTTAGGGTGAGAAAAAGAACGGCTATGCGTGTATAGCGTATGGCACTTAACAGACCAACTAATTTCATCGTTAGCGTGAGAAAAAGAACAGCTATGCGTGTATAGATTATGGCACTTAACTGACCCACTAATTTCATCGTTAGCGTGAGAAAAGGAACGGCTATGCGTATATAGATTGTGGCACTTAACAGACCCACTAATTTCATCGTTAGCATGACAAAAAGAACGGCTATGCGTGTATAGAGTATGGCACTTAACAGACCCACTAATTTCATCGTTAGCGTGACAAAAAGAACGGCTATGCGTGTATAGAGTATGGCACTTAACAGACCCACTAATTTCATCGTTAGCGTGAGAAAAGGAACGGCTATGCGTGTATAGAGTATGGCACTTAACAGACCCACTAATTTCATCGTTAGCGTGAGAAAAGGGACGGCTATGCGTATATAGCGTGTGGCACTTAACAGACCCACTAATTTCATCGTTAGCGTGACAAAAAGAACGGCTATGCGTGTATAGAGTATGGCATTAACAGACCCACTAATTTCATCGTTAGCGTGACAAAAGAACGGCTATGCGTGTATAGAGTATGGCACTTAACAGACCCACTAATTTCATCGTTAGCGTGAGAAAAAGAACGGCTATGCGTGTATAGAGTGTGGCACTTAACAGACCCACTAATTTCATCGTTAGCGTTAGAAAAAGAACGGCTATGCGTGTATAGAGTATGGCACTTAACAGACCCACTAATTTCGTCGTTAGCCCGAGAAAAGGAACGGCTATGCGTGTATAGAGTATGGCACTTAACAGACCCACTAATTTCAGCGTTAGCGTGAGAAAAAGAACGGCTATGCGTGTATAGAGTATGGCACTTAACAGACCCACTAATTTCATCGTCAGCGTGAGAAAAGGAACGGCTATGCGTGTATAGAGTGTGGCACTTTACAGACCCACTAATTTCGTCGTTAGCACGATAAAAAGAATGGCAATGCGTGTATAGAGTATGGCACCTAACAGACCCACTAATTTCATCGTTAGCGTGAGAAAAGGAACGTCTATGCGTATATAGAGTGTGGCACTTAACAGACCCACTAATTTCATCGTTAGCGTGAGAAAAGGAACGGCTATGCGTATATAGAGTGTGGAACTTAACAGACCCACTAATTTCATCGTTAGCCTGAGAAAAAGATCGGCTATGCGTGTATAGAGTATGGCACTTAACAGACCCACTAATTTCATCGTTAGCGTGACAAAAAGAACGGCTATGCGTGTATAGAGTATGGCACTTAACAGACCCACTAATTTCATCGTTAGCGTTAGAAAAAGAACGGCTATGCGTGTATAGAGTATGGCACTTAACAGACCCACTAATTTCGTCGTTAGCCCGAGAAAAGGAACGGCTATGCGTGTATAGAGTGTGGCACTTAACAGACCCACTAATTTCAGCGTTAGCGTGAGAAAAGGAACGGCTATGCGTATATAGAATGTGGCACTTAACAGACCCACTAATTTCATCGTTAGCGTGACAAAAAGAACGGCTATGCGTGTATAGAGTATGGCACTTAACAGACCCACTAATTTCATCGTTAGCGTGACAAAAAGAACGGCTATGCGTGTATAGAGTATGGCACTTAACAGACCCACTAATTTCATCGTTAGCGTGAGAAAAAGAACGGCTATGCGTGTATAGAGTGTGGCACTTAACAGACCCACTAATTTCATCGTTAGCGTGAGAAGAAGAACGGCTATGCGTGTATAGAGTATGGCACTTAACAGACCCACTAATTTCATCGTTAGCGTGAGAAAAAGAACGGCTATGCGTGTATAGAGTATGGCACTTAACAGACCCACTAATTTCATCGTTAGCGTGAGAAAAGGAACGGCTATGCGTATATAGAGTGTGGCACTTAACAGACCCACTAATTTCATCGTTAGCGTGAGAAAAAGAACGGCTATGCGTGTATAGAGTATGGCACTTAACAGACCCACTAATTTCATCGTTAGCGTGACAAAAAGAGCGGCTATGCGTGTATAGATTATGGCACTTAACGGACCCACGAATTTCATCGTTAGCGTGAGAAAAGAAACGGCTATGAGTGTATAGAGTATGGCACTTAACAGACCCACTAATTTCATCGTTAGCGTGACAAAAAGAACGGCTATGCGTGTATAGAGTATGGCACTTAACAGACCCACTAATTTCATCGTTAGCGTGAGAAAAAGAACCGCTATGCGTGTATAGAGTATGGCACTTAACAGACCCATTAATTTCATCGTTAGCGTGAGAAAAAGAACGGCTATGCGTGTATAGAGTATGGCACTTAACAGACCCACTCATTTCGTCGTTAGCACGAGAAAAGGAACGGCTATGCGTGTATAGAGTATGACACTTAACTAACTCACTAATTTCATCGTTAGCGTGAGAAAAATAACGGCTATGCGTGTATAGAGTATGACACTTAACTGAGTCACTAATTTCTTCGTCAACGTGTGAAAATGAACGCCCAAGGGTGTATAAAGTATGACACTTAACTGACTCACTAATTTCGTCGTCAGCATGAGAAAATGGACGACAAAGAATGTATAACTTATGACACTTAACTCACAGGTTTCTTAGTCAGTGTGAGAAAATGAACGCCAAAGCGTGTATAAAGTATGACATTTAACGGACTTCCTAATTTCGACATCACCGTGAGAAATTGGACGCCATATCGTGTATAACGTATGGCACTTAACTGACTCACTAAATTCTTCGTCGGTGAGAAAATGAATGCACAGGCGTGTATAACTTATGAGACTTACCTGACTTAATAATTTCGTCCTCAGCATGAGAAAATGAACGCTCAAGCGTGTATAACGTATGGCGCTTAACTGACTTATTGAATTCTTAGTCAACTTAAGAAAATAAAAGCCAAGGTGTGTATAAAGTATGAGACTTAACTGACTCACTGATTTCTTAGTCAGTATAAAAGGAACGCCCAAGCGTGTATAAAATATGACATTTAACTGACTGATTACTTTCGTCGTCAGTGTGAGAAAATGAAGGCTCATGCATGTATAACGTATGACACTTAACTGACAGGAATTTCGTCGTCAGTGTGAGAAAATGAACGCCCAGGCGTTTATAACTTATGAAACTTAACTGACTCACTGATTTCTTCGCCAGCGTGAGCAAATGAACGTTCAAGCGTGTATAACACATGACGTTTAAAAAACTCACTGATTTGGTTGTCAGCATGTTAAAAATCTCAAGCTGCAAGCTCAAAATAGGACAGACTTTTAAATATGTTAGGAATACTTTAACAGAGAATGTACTATGTCACACCGAAATTCGAACACACACTGGAATAGCAAAAGATGCCTTCTAAAAACTAAGCAATTTACTAAGAAAGATGAAATTTTCATAAAATCAAACAGTGGTGAACTGGTATGTAGCGTTATTCCCCATATATAATGATGAGCATTCACAGATACAGAGGAAACACAGGAATGTTGCTCTGCAGGAGGAAGATGAGAATACTATGGACAGAAAAGGAAAACATTGATGAATATTAAATATATTATTTACATTATTCGGACTATTGTCCTCATCTTTTTGGCCATATTTATTTCAACGTTTCAGCCGTTGTACGCTCCGGCCTTCTTCAGGTGGTTGGAATGTCAAACTGAACCCTTTATTTCGCTCACTGGGGTAGACTGTTCTAGTTCCCCGTGCCATGTTCTAATGGATGTCAGTTATCAGTTATCAGTTATGTTAATTTCTCTCTGAAATTTCTCCACTGTCTTAACCGGGTATTGAACTCACACTCTTTGGGTCCTGTCACTGGATCTAACTAATGTCTTTATCCACGTGGAACTAGAACAGTCTAACCCAGTGAGTAAAATAAAGGGTTCAGTTCGACATTTCAACCACCTGAAGAAGGTCGGAGAGTACAGCGGCCGAAACGTTGTAATAAATGTGGCGACAAAGTTGAGGATAATAGTCCGAATAATGTAAATAATATTCACAATACCTTATCTCAGAAATATATATATATATATATATATATATATGTGTGTGTGTGTGTGTGTGTGTGTGTGTGTGTGTGTGTGTGTGTGTGTGTGTGTGTGTGTCTTTTTAATCTTACTCTTAGTTCTTCCCTTCTACCCTTTTAATCTAATCTTACATTAAGATTTTTCATGTTCATTCAAGTTTATACTTATCGCAGATCTATAGAGCGCGTGTAGCTCTTCAGGTACTGGAGGCAAATTGTCAATATTCGAAAGTTCGTTGCTTTAATTGGATTAAATCAAGATTTTCTTAAAGGAATTTTTACTTTTGAATTAAGTTAAGTTTATTATTCATGATACTGAAGTAAGTTATGTGTATCTATTTTATTTGAACTTTCAATATCTTAACTTTGTAGGTGTGAAATTCACAAGTTCCATTAAGACGTTTTAAAATATTACCACATAAAATAAAAGTTTATATAAATTAATATTTTTTCTTTATGTTACTGTTCTTTAACAATAAATATATTAAACATAAAATAATTTTTTTGTGAATAATATGTTTTGCATTAACGGAACTAATAGGTATCATTTTCTTTTTAAAAGTATGTTTGTCATTCGTAAATAAGTACAAGACATTAAAAACAAAGGTAACGTTTTTCACTGCCAAAATTAATGAAAAAAAAAGATTATTAAAGCTTATTAAAGAATTAAACAAAATTAATCTCAAAAATTAAATTCAATAAATTTAATATTTCACAACTATTAAAAATATACGACAAAAATATAAAGATGATATTATTTTCTTGTCAATATCGTCTTTCTCTTTTTCACAAGTTTTTTTTATCAATATTAAAAGTTTTCTCAAAAAAGTTAATTTAATCTTTTTATTTATGCTATTATTCTCCATAATGACGAATATATTGGTTATAAAATACATTTTTAAGGAATAAAGTGTGTTTTCTTTATAACATATGCAGTATGCCGAGAAAAAATGAATCTAAATTTTGTACGGCTAATTTTCAAAGTTTAATCTAAAGAGTTTTGTCCATTTGAAAAAAAAATCAATATTTGTATGCTATTATTACAACATAACAAACATTGTTTTAAAAAAATGAAATAAATATTTACAGTTACACTACACTTTTTAAAAGCACCATATACTTTTTACAAAATAATAGTTTCATATCTGTCTACATCTCTGAGATGAAGTAATTATGATTAATTACGTTATTTACATTATTCGGACTGTTATCGTTTCTTAATTGCCATATTCACAACGTTACGAGCGTTGTACGCTCCGGCCTTCTTCAGGTGATTGGACTTTCGATTCGAACCCTTTATTTCGTCCACCGGGGTAGATTGTCCCAGTTCCACGTGGCATGCCTCTTCCAGATGTCTCAGTTAACTCAACTCTCCAAGTTTTGGTTCACCACTGCTGTGGCCTGGTATTGAACTCACAACTCTTTGAGTCTAGTCACTGGATCTGACCAACGTCTTTATCCACTAGGCCATGTGTCCTTGGCACATGGAACTAGAATAATCGGTGGACGAAATAAAGGATTCGGTTCGAAAGTCCAATCATCTGAAGAAGGCCGGAGCGTACAACGCCCGAAACGTTGTGAATATGGCAATGAAGATGAGGATAAAAGTCTGAATGTAAATAATGTAAGTAATAATAGTTATAAGTTAATATTTTTATTTTAATACCCCAAACACTTTCTCAAAATGGTAAAAAATACTGTGTAACAGGTTGTCGTGGTAACAATGAACAAAATAAGGTTTGTTTATTTTGCCTTTCCCAAGATCAGAATGAGTGCGAACAATGGTTAAAGACTTAAGACAACACCCCTGACAAACCAAACTCTGTTGTTTGTGAAAGGTATTTTCTATCTAATTATAAATCAGCGGTTACTACAAGAAAAGTACGACCCAGAAATCCACTATCAATATTTGATCATTTGCCATAGGTGTATTACCTCATCCTCAACCAAAATCAACAAACACAACTTCTGGTTCTTTGCGTAATGTGCAAAATGATGAGTTGGCAAAGTTTCTAAAAAAAGACAAAATTTTTACTTTTGAAAAATTGTATCAGAATATTAATCAATGTCGCAGCAGTTCCATCAAAGAATCATCTGTTCATTCAATCTGTTGATTTTTTTTTACTAGATGTGTTCCAATGTTTTAATTAAATCTTTGAAAACTTGAGATTTGAATGTTACAAATGCTGGTTATATATACAACATGTCGAATATCAATGTTTCAGCCCTGGTCACAAATCACTGAATGGAAATAATTCGTTACCATAGTAACTTAAAAATTGATAATAAGAAAACAAATTAAAAGAGCATATTAATGATATGTCATAAAAAAGTATCGATACAAGTATTATGATATGCCATCTAAGGCATTTGATTACTTTATTACATTTTGGTTATTATATAACAGACTTTAGGGTGATTTCAAGTTATCCAGTGTGAGAAAATTACCAGGTTAGATGACATTAATTTTCTTTGTGACATTTTAGTGAAATCTCTGAAAGTCTAAAAAAATGTATTCTTTTATTTGAAGTATATGCTAAGGTTGCTCTGCAATATCATGGAGGAAACTTATTTGGTTTGGCAGAAAAATGGGGATTAGTAAAAGCAGTCTTGGGCATCATGTTAAAATGTTTAGATGGAGGTCGAAAAAGTCTATGTAAAATGATTCCAATTGTGAAATTAGATGCAACTGTTTTATATGAAAAAATATAGAGTTGATGCAACAGTCAAGAAATTGCATTTATATGTGACAATAACTGGACCCATCAAACCTTTATTTCCAAAAAATTGACATTGTTTTAGTAAGACTTGGATAACTTTAAAATGGTTTGTGTTTACTTTTTCATTATGTCCATCTTTTTTAAAAAATATTCGCAGTAACTGGATTACTGAAACTACTTCTGAATTATTATTTTATTCTGAAGGCAAAAAGACGACTGCAAAATGGGAAATTGTAAAATGTCTTTTAGATTATGAAAAAAACTCAATTATTTAAGCTGTCGAAACTAACTGATGTAGCAGTTTACCCAAAACCTTTTGAGCGACAAAATGTTTCCTACTGTTTAAAAGATTTTTTGATCAAACTGTAGCTGCTATTAAGACACACCCATTATTAACTAGGTGGGGGAGATACGACAGAAACTGTTAATTTCATTGAAAATGATAACATTTTTGAAAATTGTCTGTGCCAAATATATGGTGATGCTAGGAAAAAATATCAACTGAAAAAGGTCATATTTGATTTAGATGAGGAATATTTGTTAGTTCTTTCTAATTCTGAAAAAAAAAATGACCAAATAATGGA